GCGGGGGGGCAGCAGCTTCTCTGCTGTGTATCACTGGTCTCTTTCCCAAACCCCCACTTGGCATCTTTGAGGCCCGAGTGTCTCTAACATGCTTTCCACACACTTCAGCATGAGTGCCGGTGGCTGTTCTCACAGCTGGTCCCCTATCTTCCTGTCAGATCAGACACACATTCCAGAACTGTAGCAGCCAGCAACTACAACGTCTGACCTCTTCTCACTGTCATGAGACTGAAGAGAACTGCCTGCTGCAGAGGGTGGAAGCTCTGGGAGAATAGGAAGAAGCAAGACCCGGGAATCAGGCAGGGCCAGGAGGTTACTCACGGCATGAGAACAGGGTTTGCTGGGAGGTGGGGTGGGGCAGAGAAAGGGTCTGACACCAAAAAGGACCTGGCTCCAAGGTCATGCAACAACTAACCGCAGGAGGAGACTGAACACTTCTAACTCCAAAACTGTGTTTGCTTCATATTTTACAAACTGTATTATTTTTTTACGATTGAAGACTACTTAGCCCCTTACTCATAAAGAGTGCTTATGGTTAAAAGTAATGGTAAGATTATATGATTGCCTAGAAAAGAAGTGTATAAAGTATGAAAACTTAATTTCCACAAGAAAGGTGAAGAGATTTAGGCAGTTAGCACCTTCTTCTCAGCTTCTGAAAATTTTCATTTTTATTGTTTCAGAGAGAAAGGGAGAGGGAGAAAGAGAAACATCAATGATGAGAGAGACTCATTGATTGGCTGCCTCCTGCACACTGGGGATTGAACCCACAACCCAGGCATGTGCCCTGACTAGGAATCAAACCGTGACCTTCTGATTCATAGGTCGATGCTCAACCACTGAGCCACACCGGCTGGGCTCAGCTTCTGAAATTTAATAGGGCCTGCCTGGGCACCTGGGGCATAGGCAGGGAGAGGGCAGGGCTCCTGTGTGAAGGGAGAGCCTCTGGGCTTTTGTATTTTTTTAATATATATATATTTTTATTTAATGTATTTTTATTGATTTCAGAGAGGAAGGGAGAAGGAGAGAGATAGAAACATCAATGAGAGGGAATCATTGATCGGCTGCCTTCTGCATGCCCCCTACTGGGGATTGAGCCCATAACCCAGGCATGTGCCCTTGACTGGAATCGAACCTGGACCCTTCAGTCTGCAGGCCTATGCTCTATCCACTGAGCCAAACCTGCTAGGGCTTTTTAATATATTTTTATTGATTTCAGAGAGGAAGGGAGAGAGAGAGAAAGATTAATGATGAGTGAAAATCACTGATCAGCTCCCTCCTGCAGAACTCCTAGTGGGGACTAAACCCACAATCTGGACATGTGCACTGACCAGGAATCGAACTGTGACTTCCTGGTTCATAGGTCGACACTCAACCACTGAGCCACACTGACTTGGCTGAGCTTCTGGCCTTTGTAATGCTGCCCTCAAACCATGGCACGGAGACCCTCCCACCAGCTCCCATACAGGGCTTACCTCGCTTGGTTCAAAGATGGCTGAGGGTGCAACAATCCCATTGATTTTGGCAGCCCTATGGATGATCACCTCTGCCTCTTTAAATCGTCCCTGAGAGATGAGCCATCGGGGGGACTCGGGGATGAACCTGAAGTACAAGAAGCAATCTCACTGAGGCATTCCTGCTTAGCAGACAAGATGTAAAATGGGGTCCAGGTGGGAAATGGGGCCTCAGAGCCAGAGCTAGGTTTGGGGAATATTTGGTGTTACCAAGTCAGAAGCAAAGTGACCATCTATGCCACACCCAATAATGACCTGACGTGTGAGCTTTTGAGTACACTGGAGAGCACAAAATTTGGAGGCGCCTGCTCACCATGATGGGATGCCTCCACTGGCTGGCCATCTCCATTTCTGAGGAGCAGTGGTGCCACCTGCTGGACATTAAGGAGACCAGGCAAGTTGGGCTCCTGAAGCCTGGCTTGTGTGTGAGCTCAGCCCAGCCCAGCTCCTTGCCCACCTGTACTCCTCTGCTTGTTCCTGGCATCCACAGAAGTTTCTACACTGGCCTCTTAGCCTCTAGTTTTTCCTCATCTCCACCTGATTCACCCAAGTGACTTGTCAGACTCTCTACCTACACTTACTAAGGCATCTGGGTGCTTTGAGAGTATGTGGATCTTAATTTCTACCTCAGCAGGTAGCCCCAGCCCTTGGGTCGGGACCAGGACCCATGCTGAGCTCTGTATCCTTTTCCAAATGCCCTGGAATGTTCGCAACATGTGGGGCAGTGCCCTCAACATCCCCACCTGCAAGGGGCGATTCCCGCCTCAGCCCCTCTGCTGTGTTCCCTCCCTTGGTAAGGAATGGCCTCCCTTCTGCCTGTCCAACTCCTCTGTGTTAGAGGCTCAGATGGAGCCTGGCTTCTTCTGTGTGGCCACCCTGGGAACTCTCGCTTCCATTGCTCTTCCTCTTCTCCCAGTGTCTGTGTCATGAAGCCTTAGTGGCAACACACAGCCAGAAGCAGGACCTTAGCCATCTAGTCTGTAGTCAGATAACTTCCTGGAGGTCAGGGAGGACCCTGTCATCTCACAGAGAAGATGCTCATCTCTCAGGGAAGATGCTGCTCCTTCCTCTCCCTGAACTCTGAATAACCCAGCACAGGGCTGAAAACAAGTCCACTGTGCCTTGGGATTTTGTTGTCTTTGGCTTTTCTGAGTGTGGAGAAAACATTCTAAAGTAACTTACAAATACAGTGGAACCTTGGTTCTTGAACTTAATTCATTTTGGAAAGCTGTTTGAGATGGGATTTGTTGGAAAACTGAATCATTTCCCCCCACTAGAAATAATGTAAATGGAATGAATCCATTCCAAATCCCTAAATGAGTCTGTGTGTACTGTTTAATCTATAAACACTTCTTGAATTGATGGAACCACACCCTACTAGCCTTCATCGAATCACTTTCAGCACGAGTTCCATGGGCATCTTTCAGGAAGTAGGTGTGCAGCATCTTCACTTTCACATATTACAGTCTCCTAAATATTGTCAGCAGGTAACGGCTTTCTGCTTTTCGTTTATCAAAATCAACAATAGTTTCCGACCTCTTCAGTCCCCTGTGATTGGAATTCTGTGAGCATGTTCACACCCTTAGCAACATCAGCACACTTGATGGCATCTTGTATATGTTTTAAAAGTGTGCTAGTTGTCCTTTCCACCAGCAACAAAAGCAAAAAAAAAACAACAACAAAAAACCATGAAGATATTCACAGCACAACTTCCTGAGCTATTAACAACAGGTTTAGGGAGATTTAGTGGTAAGCTGACCCGAGTTCTCTCCTTTGTGTGTGGCCGGAGAATGGCTTTTGCCATATTGATGTATCAGCATGAAAGGGTTGTGAGGTCAAGAACTGAAGTTTTGCCCTGACCGGTTTGGCTCAGCGGATAGAGCGTCGGTCTGCGGACTCAAGGGTCCCAGGTTCGATTCCGGTCAAGGGCATGTACCTTGGTTGCGGGCACATCCCCAGTGGGGAGTGTGCAGGAGGCAGCTGATTGATGTTTCTCTCTCATCGATGTTTCTAACTCTCTATCCCTCTCCCTTCCTCTCTGTAAAAAATCAATAAAATATATTTTAAAAAAAAAAGAACTGAAGTTTTGAAAAGGGAAACAATTCTGCCCCTCCCCGCAACCCCAACAACTTGGTTGAGAACAAAATTTGACTGTAATTTACACTTCCTGTCTCTGGGAGCCCAAAAGGGATTTGTGGGTTGCTGCTGCCCCTTAGTGAAGGCCGGATGGAAGACGGAAGATCCCCTGTGGGTGTTTACCCCGGGCATACTCACCACCAGAGCACCGCGCACAGCAGCCCCGGCAATGTCAGCGCCAGCAGCAGCATCCGCCAGTCTCTGATGAAGTAACCAAACAGTGGCAGCAGCATGTAGCCAATTGCATAAAATATGCACACTCCTAACGTAGAGAATATAATACGAATGGACTTGCCAAGAATTTCTGTTCCTGTTCAAAGCAAGGGAGGAGTCATGTTAGCATTTTAATTTAGGTTATTTCCTTATTAATCTTCTCTTGTATCATCTTCTCTTGTCAACATAAAGACAAGAAAGCCGCCAGAATTATTTCTAAGTTTCTAAGCCCTCGTGAGGGATGGGATTCTGAACCCAGCCTGGTCTGACTATCTGCTGGGCGTGCCTCATTGTGGCCTCTCGGTGACAGTTCTCTCATGAAAATGTCATCACTTCCTGAAGCCATATGTTAAAGATGCCACATTAGGCCTCAAAATGTAACCCTCACAGGAGGAAGAATCCATTAAAGGGGAAGTCATTACTAAGGCTGCACGGGCTGACTGCTATCCTTTAAGGAAAAAATATTCTGTTAAGTGTGAAGAGAAAGAAATAATCCTTTCAACAGTACAACTGAGACCAATAAGCTAGAGTTAGATTCCTCCAAACAGTGAGACTGGTAACTTTTCAGTGAGAACAGGCAAAAGCCCCGCAGTGTGAATTCTTAATTAAAACCCAAAGGTCACATGACTAAAGCCCGATCCTATCAATTCATTCTTGCTAGTCAACTTCACTGCCAGTGTTTTGCTGGGGGCCATTTCTTCCTTGGCCTTTGTTCCTCTTGTCATACTTCCTTCTTTCCTTAGCTACCTCAGCCCTGGGCAGTGGCAGGCCCTTTTTGTTGGATGGAGGATCTGGGGTGGGGTATAGTGAAATGGCCATCAAGTCCTAATAAAACCAAGGAGCCACTCCTCAGAGGCCAGAAGAGAACTGGCATACAGCAGGTAGGCTACATGCTACTGGGGACCCAAGGCTAGGTACTTGGTGGACTCATTCGCTGCCTACAAACTGGGTTCTCCAAGAAGCCCTGGTTGGTGTTGCCAGAGACCACTTCCCCTTGAGGGACATCACGGATGTCTCCAGAAAGTGGGTGGTGAGACGATGGTGAAACACAGGATCAAGTACTCAACTCCAACTTGATGGCCATACCCAGGACAAATGCTGCCACATAGTTGGAGATCTGGCCCATGCCTACAAGGACAAACAGCACGGCAAACATCTCAAAGTTCCTGGAGAAGATCTGCAGGAAGCTGAAGCCTGTCTGCATGGCCATGGTCACAAACAGCACGTTCTTCCGACCAAACCTGGGAAAGAAAGCGGAGTGACAGAACCAGCAGGGAGAAGGCGGTAGGAAGGGGCTCCACCAAGAGGGGCTTTCTCCAGGACCATTCAGAGATGGGTGGTGGACAGTACTGCTAGGGTACCAGTCTCCCAGTCCCTATGCTGTTATCCTCCCCACCTCCACAGCCTGGGCACCAGGGTGGCCCCCCAAAAAGATGCTTATTAAAAAAAAAAAAGATGCTGTTTCTGCCCTCAAGGAGCTTATAGTTTACTAGAGATCTGGTGCACGAAATTCGTGCACTGGGGGGGGGGCACCCTCAGCCCAGCCTGCGCCCTCTCGCAGTCCTGGAACCCTCAGGGGATGTCCGACTGACAGCTTAGGCCCACTCCCCATCTAAGCTGTCAGTCGTACATCCTTAGCGCTGTCACAGAGGTGGGAGATGCTCCCGCCACCACTGCTATGCTGACCACCAGGGGGCAGCTCCTGCATTGAGCATCTGCGCCCTGGTGGTCAGTGTGTGTCATAGCGGCGGTCATTCTGCCGTTCACTCAATTTGTATATTAGCCTTTTATTATATAGGATAGGTAGTGAAATAGACAGTGATCACTTTTTAGAGAGAGAGGAAGGGAGAGAGAAACATCGATGTGAGAGAGAAACATCAATCGGTTGCCTCTTGTATGTGTCCCAACCTGGGATAGAACCCACAACCTAGGTATGTGCCCTGACTGGAATCGAACCTGCCACCATTTTGGTGCACAGGACAATGCTCAACCAACTGAGCTACCCAACTGGGCAGTGATCACATTTTAGTCAAATAAACACATTACTGAAAGTACAGTTACACACTAAGATAGGTGCACTGAAGGATCAGCACCCAGGTCCTCAAGTGTACAACAAAGGAACCTACCCTGGACTGGGGGTAGGGGCTGGGGATGGAGGCATTCAGGGAAGGTCTCCCTGAGGATGGGACATTGAGATGAGGCCCTAAAGAAAAGTACTTGTTGACAAGGGGGAGTAAGGATAGGGACCAAGCTTCCAATGATACTCACAATATAGCAAAGAGACCATTAATTACATGAGAACACCTTTTATTTAGCAATTTTTTAAAAATATATATTTTTTTATTGATATCAGTGAGGAAGAGGTAGGGAGAGAGACATAGAAACATCAATGATGAGAGAGAATCACTGATTGGCTGCCTCCTGCATGCCCCCTACAGGGGATCGCAACCCGGGCATGTGCCCTGACCGGAATCGATCCTGAGACCTTTCAGTCCAAAGGCCAGCGCTCCATCCACTGAGCCAAACCAGCTAGGGCTATTTAGCAATTTCTGAAGGAAAGGCACAAGGAACCAAGGTAATGTAAACCAGGGACTCTGAGTTAGCCTGCAAGGTCAAGGAAGGCCCCAGGGGCAGGGTGGTTAAGAGGAGAACACACAACTGTGGCTGGAGTCAGCTGCTCACCAGGAGACTGCAGGGTGGGCAGGACCTACACTGCACAGGCCTTGCAGCCACACTGAAGAGCTGGTGCTTCTACTTACTGCGATGGGGGTTGTTTTATTTGTTTGTTTTTGAGGGGGTGGCTAGTGCTACTGGCATATAGTAGTAGACAGAAGCCGGAGATGATCTAGACCAGTGGTTCCCAAACTTATTTGGCCTACCGCCCCCTTTCCAGAAAAAATATTACTCAGCGCCCCCTGGAAATTAATTTTTTTTAAATTTTAATAGCAATTAAACAGAAAGATATATGCCCCCAAATGCACCTGTGGCCATCACCGCCCCCCTGGATCGCTGCAGCGCCCACCAGGGGGCGGTAGCGCCCACTTTGGGAATCACTGATCTAGACATCCTAAAAAGCCCAGGATAGCCCCCCAGAACAAAGAATCCTCTGGCTCAAAATGTCAATAGTGTGAAGGTGGGGAAACCCTGACATTAGAAGGAGACTTTGTTCCCCCCACCCCCTTCTGGCCTGTCTTTTACAGAGCACCCTCCATTCCGTCCAAGGGCAGCCCCTTCCTGCAGGCAGAGCTGTAACCTCTATCCCTGCCTTCCCTGCCTTCCCCGCCCAAGGGCTCCCTGGGATGATGGGAAAGAGAAAGATCCAGGGAACCCTGGCATAGTACCAGCCCCTTGGCAGTCCGGGTTGGGCCCAGAAACACTCACTTTTAACGTATGTCAACAAAAAAGTAAAATAAATAAAATATGTCAACAAAACATCAAACATATACGTGCCTACAAAACCAGGAAATACCAGTCTACTTCTTCCCAGGGTTGTGCCTCTCATAATACATGCACATAAAACTAACTCAATGTCAGATAAAAGGCTTTGACAATCCAAGATTTTTTAAAAATTTAAATTCTTTATTGTTTAAAGTATTACTTATGC